GGCAGGTATATGGAGGCGACACTGCACAGTGTATCATCGTCTTCGCAGAAATCGTAAGGGTGCCTTGCCGAGGCATCAGCTGTCGACGTGTTGCAACCATCGGTAGGCAGGCGTGAGAGTGCGTCTGCCACAGTGTTGTCGTCTCCCTTGATGTAGACGATCTTGGCATCAAACTGGGATAGGAACTCCATCCATCGTGCCTGACGGCGCGAGAGATCCTTTTGCGAAAGGAAGTTCTCCAGTGTCTTATGATCAGTATAAACGAAGAAGGGACAGCCTAACAAGTCCACTCGCCACCTTTTTAAAGACCTGATGACGGCGAGTAATTCTTTTTCGTGTACTGAGTAGTTCAGTTCGGCTCCCTTGAAGGTCATGGAGTCAAAGGCGACTGGGCGGGCTGTCTCCCATGTTGGGCCAAAAGAGAGTACACCACCTGACCTTTTGTCGCTCGCATCAGTGGTTACAAAAATTTTGTAGTCCGGCATTTTATTGAAGTCGATTGTGGTTAAGCATTCCCGGCCAGTTACAATTGTTTTAATCGCGTCAAACGCAGATTGAAATCTGGGTGTCCATGGTGGAAATAATCTTTCCGATTCCTTTGTTGTAAGTTCCGTGAGGATGCCTGTGTGCTCTGCAATTGTTGGTAGGAAGGTGGCAATGTACCGCACAAGGCCCAAAAAACTGCGAACATCAGTGGCCGATTTTGGTTTCGGCCATGATAGAATACGTTCTACTTTCCTGTCATCGGCTTCGATGCCACGGGCGCTGATGTGATGCCCCAGGAAATCGATCTCGGTACAGAATAGTTTTGTTTTGTCTGGGTTTACGTATAGACGAGCGTCGCGCAGCGCTTGGAGAACAGCGCGCACATTTTTCTCGTGTTCATCTATTGTGTTAGACCAGATCACGATATCATCCAGGTAAATATGACAGAATTTACCCAGCAGTTGACGCAAGGCAGCGGTTACGCGTCGCTGGTGGATTGCCGGGGCATTTTTTAATCCCATAGGCATCACCAGCCATTCATACAGGCCTAAGGGAGTGTTCACGGCGGTGAGATGGACGTGGTCCGGGTGCATCCTCGTTTGAAAGAAGCTATTTGTCATGTCTATTGTGGCCCAAATTTTTCCTTTGGCACAATCGGTGAGAATGTCGTCTATTCGCGGTAAAGGATGTGAATCTGTAACCGTGTTTTCGTTGAGTTGACGAAAATCGTTCACCCATCGCGGTAGGACATTAGGATTTGCTTTCGGTACTATGAATGCGGGAGAAGCACAGGGTGAAGATGAAGGGCGAATACGTCCGGCATCCAGATGCTGTTGAATTAAAATTTGCCATGCCTCCTTATATTTTCGCGGTGAAGGGTAAGAGCGTGATTTGATGGTCTTTTCCGCGTCTTTCAGATGTATTTCAGCTACCACTTCGCGCGGCAGTTCATCCACATGGGGGATTGGTTCAAATATTGCATGGTATTCGGCTTTTAGTTTTTGTTCCCTCAAACGTAAGGTTTCAATAGCAGCTAACGTTTCAATGCGCTCACGGACAGCGCCGACGACATCAAAATCCTTCACCTTTTCAGGTTTGAGTCCAAGGTGTTTTATTCTATCATTGCAAACCATTAACAGTTCAGCGAGTACTACTTTTTTATCCGCCTTTGTAATTTTGATCTGTCTTTCAACTTAGGTTTCGGTGGTGGAGGCGGTTTAATAACGGGGGGGTTCAACAAATCATATGCAGTCTTTTTATCTATGCAAGTACGAGCGGCATGGTCTGTAACGATTGAATTATGTACGAGCCAGGGTAATCCGAGAATAATGGGGGCACAGAGGCCAGGAGTGACGACGGCTCTAACGGTGCGCGAGGTCCAAGACGAGTCTAACGAAGTGAGGGACAATTTAACATAATGGTACAGTTTTGTTTTCTTCTGCTGGTTGTTGAATGCGACGTCTACGAGTTCGGGTTCTGCCAAATCATGCATTTTCAGTCCAAGGCGTTCTACAAGCTCGGGGCGAATGAGGACCAGGTGCGCGCCGTTGTCAATCAACGCGCGTGTTTTCACTGGAAAATCCTCAATTAAGCTATGTGCTTGGCAATTCCAAACCAGATGTTTGCCACGGATCGGCGGACTCACCTCACGACGCGACAAATCCCCCCCATCCGAATCGGAGTTATATTCTCCCGGGGAGTTGGGTAAAATTGCCGCAGCCGCAGAGATGTCGTCATCGGAGTCGATGTTTTCGGTGGATGCGCTGGTAGCGGCGACGGGCTTGGTAGTAGGTTTAGCTACTGCCTTGCCCTTCTTAGCAGTCATAGCATCTGCGGTAGTTAGAGTCTTATAGTTCTTGCCAGCAGGGAAACCGTTAGGACAATCACGGGACCTGTGATCAGCGTAGAAGCGACGGCACTTGGTACAACCATCATGTTCATGAAGGAGATTGCGCTCC